AATCTTAATCTTAGTTCACTCCGAAATGTGAGTCAGAAGGGATTTTGGGTCATGGGTAATGCTCAGGGTCTCCAGTCTCTGGTTTCTTTGACGATCACCTTATGCAGGGGAGCCACAGATGTTGGTCTTGAAGCTGTGGGAAAGGGATGCCCGAATCTGAAACATATGTGCATTCGCAAGTGTTGCTTTATTTCTGACGGTGGACTGGTTGCTTTCGCCAAAGCTGCTGGATCTCTTGAGAGTGTACACTTGGAGGAGTGCAACAGGATTACCCAAACGGGTATCCTTAATGCGGTTTCCAACTGCAGGAAATTAAAGTCTCTTTCCCTAGTGAAGTGCATGGGAATCAAGGATCTAGCTCTACAAACTTCCTTGTTGTCTCCATGTGAATCTCTTCGGTCCTTGTCTATCCGAAGCTGTCCAGGATTCGGGAGTACTAGCTTAGCTATGGTCGGTAAGCTCTGCCCCAAGCTGCATCAATTAGATCTCAGTGGGCTTTGTGGAATAACGGATGCTGGTCTCCTCCCGCTGTTGGAGAGCTGTGAAGCAGGACTTGTTAAGGTGAATCTTAGCGACTGCCTGAACTTGACAGATCGAGTGGTTCTCTCATTGGCTAGGCTACATGGTGAGACCCTGGAATTGCTGAATCTTGATGGATGCAGGAAGGTTACCGATGCAAGTTTGGTGGCAATTGCGGATAATTGCCCATTACTTAATGATCTTGATGTTTCTACGTGTGCAATAACTGATTCTGGTGTTGCTGCTTTATCCTGTGGAGTGCAAGCTAATTTGCAGGTCCTTTCCTTATCAGGTTGCTCGATGGTATCAAACAAGAGCGTTCCTTCTCTTAAAAAGTTGGGGGAGAATCTACTTGGTTTGAATCTCCAACATTGCTCCGTTAGTTGCAGCGCAGTTGAGCTTCTTGTGGAGGATTTGTGGAGATGTGATATTCTCTCCTAAACCAAATGAGCACAAGGAAACGCATCGAAAGTGGTTTGGAAGAACAAGCAGAAAAGTTATTTGGTTCATTCAGCTTCTAGCGAGACAGAAGCACACATGAGTGTTGTTTTTTAGCCCGTGTATTCGCGGCCATCTGATACTTCAGTGTCTCGGTTGTTTTCCGGGAGGCTATGGCAAACCACTTTTTTCCAGGCTTCATCAAGTCTTAAGCCTGTTTCCAACGTTTTTGGTCTCACATGTTATGGAGACTGCCTCTATCGCGCCATGGTTTCCTGAGAATACAGTCACCGAGCACTGACACTAAAATTTTCACTCATGTTGCTCCTTGTAAAGCTACGCGGCTTGAATCATTCAGCTAAAACTTCTGTGGACGGATTCGTTATGCATTTGCCTCCTTGGTGTGCTACATTGCAGAATCAGACCGTGTGTTCATAGTCTATCATGTTAAGAGTCTTTAGTGTTCATTGTAAGTATCTACTTTCTGTATTAGGCTTTAATTGCTTGTGCAAATCTGTAGTTTGGTGCCTGTTATTCAGGGGCTTGGCCTTACAACCTACCTAGGTTGTTTTTTCTTTACCAAGTCCTAGTTTTTGATAGGATTATCAGTCCTATTTTTAGCAGGTTTCCAACATTTTCAGATTTGTACACTGCAACTATGTTTTATATTAATGAAAGTGGTAGTTTGTTTTCAATTGTGTTATTTGTTCCTTTTTTTAAAATTTAAAAAAAATGGCAGCCCGGTGCACTGTACTCTCGCTATGCGTGGGGTATGGGAAAAGGTCGGATCACAAGGGTCTATTATATGCGGCATTACCCTACATAATTATTTCTTTAATTTTAGCCACATGGTGCTCTATCAACACTAAATATAGTGAATGGAACTACTTGTAAGTGCTAATAGTTGTATAAATGTAGAACAAATATGTCAAAAGCATAAACCAAATCAATTTTGAAACCTTGCTAGTTTCTTGACTATGTATTCTTCAAACAATTAGGAGGATGGTTCGTTTAGTTTTGAATTTTCAAGATCAAAAACTGTATCCAAAGAGTTTATCTTCTATGTACATCAATTATGTAAAAGAATTCTTACATTATCAGGTCTAGAGGCAAATTTAAGATTTAAATTTGATGGATTCATCGTCCTGTACATTTTTAACACTAAACTCATTATAAAAGGAAAAAAAAGGGCAGTCTGGTACATTTAGCTCCCGCTATGCGCGGGGTCCGGGAAAGGGCCAGACCACCAGGGTCTATTATACGCAGTCTTACCCTACATTTATCATTTATGCAAGAGCTTGTTTTTACGGCTCAAACCCATAACCTCCTGGTCACATGCCAGCAACTTTACCGGTTAGTTATACCAAGGCTCCCTTTCGTAATTTTCAGTTGGACCCAATCTTCAAAGGCTCGATCCGCCTATAATCAGTTCACCTAAGTGATATTAGTAACTTGAAAAATAAGAGAGTGAGATTAATAACTTGAAAAATAAAGGAATAATTTGCTGGAATTGGCTAAAATATACTGATGATGTAAAAATTCTTTACAGTGTTGGCATATNCAAACTTTAGTATTTCATTTTAGAAGGTGGTTGACACTTGACAATTCTTGTTTCCCCTTTCCTCTTTCATTGTATCTGCGTATAATGCAGATTCAATGCACTGGACAAGTAGGTCCATTTCAGACAATGATTTCAGCGATATGTTTAGCTTAAAGTATTTGTGAACTTTGCCTCTCTTTTTTTTCCTTATAGTAAAGTCAAAAGTTCTTATTTGGAAAAAAAATAAGAATGTTAACTTTCTATATTTAGAAATAATTTAATTTAAATTTTTTATTTATTTTTAATAAGAAATTTTTATATCCACACGATATTATTAAATGTTTAAATCACAAGTTTCACATGTTTTAGTGGGCATTTGGACATAAGAATTGTAAAATTTCGGGAAAAAAAAGTGAACAAATTTCAAATGAAAATGGTATTTGAAAATTATAGTCGTGTTTGGACTTGAATATAATTTTGGTTTGTTTTTGAATTTTTGTGAGTGATCTTAATTGAAAATTTTGAAAAATACATTTTTGGAGTTTTTCAAATTTTTGAAAAATTCCAAAATTCATCTTCGAGTGAAAATCGAAAATTTTATGGCCAAACACTGATTTTGAAAAAAAAAAAAATTCTTATGTCCAAACGGGTTCTTAAAAGCCTATCTTTCTTTCTTATCTAACATGCCTTATCCTTCACCAACCTAAAGTCTATAGCACCAAATGGATGGTGGCTTCAACCATTATTGCCTACCCAAATGGACCAACATTTGCTGTCAGTAATGATCATATATTCTCTTTGGAGTCAGCTGGCACGCACCTCGGTTAATTTCATAAGTACCTGCTACCTCGAATCAGCATGAAGTATTGAATAATTTTGTCCACCAAGACTTGAATATATGAAAAAAAAAATCACCTAATATTTGTATTTCCAGTGAGATTTGAACCTAAGATCTCACGATTTTCTACCGACTTTATTGACCATTACGCTACACCCTTGAGCGCTTATGCTCTTTTGCTCTTGTCAATGCCAACAAGAACAAAAGGAGAAACCCATTTTTATCTTCTTTTTTATACTACTCGTTCTCTTTGATTCATCATTTTTGAAAAATGTATAGACCCCTTCATCTTTTTTACTAGCCTTTTTCAATAGGAACTACACAAGATAAAGGTTACTATCTCCTTTCGTGGGAGTGTAGATGTGAGACTAGGTACTTTCAACCTTAAAATGTCATGTGATAAATTTTCTTTTGTTTTCCTCATCTTTGACTTTTGTGGGGATGACAAAGTGTTTATGGGAAGCAATATTGGTTCCTGGGAGGTAAACAAACACTCAGTTCCACACACCACTACCAATGATGCATCCTTCTCTTTGCTGAAGATTTGAGGGTGTGATGCCTTGGTTGGAAGTACTCGTAAGTTGGGTTTGGGGAGGGTAGTGTGTACGCAGACCTTACCCCTACCCGAGAGGGTAGAAAGGTTGTTTCCGAAAGACCCTCGGGTCAAGACGACGAAAAGAAACACTATATTAGTACCATCAACAGAAATATCAAGAAATAATGGCAGCAACATAAGAACCAGAATGATGCCTTGGTTGGAAAAGCAAACAAAATATGAAATGCTACTCTTTTTACTACTAGCATATATCTAGTTGTCAACACCATTGCTTTCAAGCCCGTGATTTACAAATTGCAGAGCACTAAAGATATGTAGTTGCTATCTTACTGTAAGATATCTCGGAAGTTCACACTTATTTCTATGCAATAAGACCGAGATTTAACAGTAAGACGAGCAATTACAAAGATTTAGAGAGGGTACAGAGGATCGGGTAGGGGAATTCACCACATGAAACCACGCAGATACTTTACCAATCCGATGATGATGTAGTATGCAAGACAAGGCAGATAGCGAAATTGGAACATCTTCATTACACATCACAATGCTTAGTGATTCACTTCTTTTCCAGAAATCCAGTTCAGCGAGTCATTGTTCTAAGCAGAGCAGCTTTTGACATGCCATCCTTTGGTTTCCAAATGATGTCGTCAATTTTCGTACAGAAGGTTTTGTAGAACTGCAAAAGCACAGTAACAATGGCCTGTTAGGCAGTTCCAAGCTTCATGGAGTTCCTTAAAGAAACTAGATATAAGAATTGTAATGCAAGCTATAGTGAAAAACTAATTAGCAAAAGTTGAATGTAGAAGCAGACCTTGTGATATTCAAGGGTGTCCCCAGCAGCTTTTCTAGCATCAACCATGAAAAGGGAGGGCGCTACTTGGAAAACCTTTACAAATTAAAGAAAGAGTTGTCAAATGATAATAACAAGCAGCAATCTTGTAATGATTTAGTTTATGGAGATTGAAAGTTACCTCCATCACAACAGCAAATTGACCAGCCTTATTTGCCGTTACCCCCTCAATTCTTGTCTGCAATAAACATAGTGGTTGAAAATATAAACGCCCATTCAATAAAAAGGAACTCACTCAAGGCTATGTTTTGTGGTTTAAAAACATGATCTTAGCACCACAAAAGCCTTAAAAAACCTCAACCAATGGCAATGTTTACCTACGAGTATCATGATACTAAAATATATCTTGTGACACAGTTATGATTTTGCTCCTGATCAAAAACAGGTAAAACGAATAAGATGAATTCCCATTTCTTTTATGTTGGTTGCACAGTAATTGGGACAGAAATTCAGTGTATGGAAGGAAAAGGGAATTATTGTTGATAGATAGTGGGAATATGGTGGAAGATTTCTGACAATCATAGTTGATCAGATGGAGAATTGGCTATTCAATTACAACATTGCTTCATACTGATTCAATTGCTTGAATAAAAGAATCACTTGTCGTTGAAATATATGGAAATTTCGAATGTACCTTGTAATTGCGTGTGTGGACCTTAAGACCCAACGACTCTGCTGCTGCTTCAATCGTTGTAATGATGACTTTAGCAGGTTGGCGGGAAACAAATCGAGTTTGACGCTTAACATAATCCTGCAAAAAAAAAAAAAAAAAAAAAAAAAAAAAGAGAGTCAATTGCGCTTAGTTACAACAAGGAAGTTGCAAACCCCTTTTTAACAAAAGATGATGAGCACTTTTAAGTTTGTAGAAACATTAGCCTACTCACTCCCTATAATTATAAGCTATCCGGATCATATCTGACACGTTTATTTCATAACAAAAAAAGGGACGTATTTGATCCAAAATTGGATTTGAAATGGTTGGCATTATGTAGCATTGGGTCTGACTACAAGAAAAAAGAGGAAAAAGATAAGAAAAATAGACGGAGAGAAACTAACCTAACGAAAAATTAAAGGAAGAAACAATTTACATCTCCATCAGATTCCCTTCTTATCCGAGAAATGAAAAGCTTAGAAGAAGAGTCGGGAGAAAGAAAGAGAAGAAAGAGGAGAAGTGGAGATGAAATAAACTATGACGAACTTTGATTTGGTTTATTTTTGGTCCATGAACTAAATTAATCATTGTACCTGACGCCTGTCAAACAAGGCAGATAGATTCAATCCCTGCGATAGTGTTATCATCTCAAATGCATTCATTACCAAGGGGCCACTGTCACTATTTTCAGATTTTTCACTTACAAATGCATCCTGCAACAATTGAAGATAGCATATCAAAACCTAGAATGGAGGAGAACAATGCAGTAACAGGCCAAACACTTCAGCTGATCTATATCCATTATTTTCAATTTCACCATCTCCTTATCTAGTTAGCATACTAAAATCACAAGTGTGCAAGAATTCTACCTCAATGTCATCGAACACAGCACGGACATCATCAAGATTCACTACTTCATCTGCCTTGGCTCTAACAGGCACGTAGTTTTTCCGGAACCAAGGGTCTCGTCTTATCCCTTCAATCTTGATCCGCTGCATGTACATGGCTTTGATTAACATAAATCACTACGAAAACACCAAAAGGACTCTTGATTCTGTACCAGTTAGGCTGAGGTTTCTCAAACTAACGTAGAAGATGAGAAAGGAAAACATTTTTTTTACTGAAAAAGCAGCAAACGAGTAGAAGGCAAGCATAATGCATTTCTCACATTTAAAATGGCCCTAAAAAGGATCTCTATAACCAGTCAGAGAGATTTGGAAGGGTTTACTCCATGTTGAGCAACCAGACTCAAAATATTCATTCAGTTCTAATGAAACAGAGCTTTACCTCTCAACGGAGCAATGTCTCACAATATTCTACATGGTTATGGATTTTGAAGGTTCATGATGGAATATCACATTTTTGTCCCAGTTTCTTTGATAGTATTCGATTGGAGAAAGAGCTTAACATGTTAATTTAACTTATTTATTATAAAGGGCAGCCCCGTGCACTAAGCTTCCGCTATGCGCAGGGTCCGGGGAAGGGCCGGACCACAAGGGTCTGTTGTACGCAACCTTACCATTTCTGCAAAAAGCTGTTTCCACGGCTTGAACCCGTGACCTCCTGATCACATGACAACAACTTTACCAGTTACGCCAAGGCTCCCCATTATTATATTATGATTCAAGAAGAAAATATTAAAGTAATGGTTCAAAAAGCTAGTTTGACTAAGAAACATCACATCAAGTCAAAGTAGAACAATTCTGAAAAGTTTAATGAATTAAGATTTCTGAATATTGTAAAAGTTATAAAAATGTAGTAGTGTCAAATATTTTGGGACATCCCATAACCACTGAAAATCTAGATGAAGTAAGGAATATTGTATTTAATTCTTATATATTACTGCAGAACAATGCCTTGCAAGTCTGCGGAGTTCTTTCATCGTGGCTTCTCAACCAAAGCCAAATCCATCCTAGCTATTTCATCAACCATGTCCAATTACTACAAAGCTTTTATTCTTGATAAAATTATGAATACAAACATAGTTCTGCTTCACTTCAGGTAAGAAGTTTTTCCTTTTTTCTTTCTTTGATGACCGAGGAATCCGTTTGGGGCCAAACCTTAGGACCAACCGCAGCCTTTGAAACTCAGGGATAATAGGCCCCCTCCTCTACCCTTCTTCACTTAAATACCAGGCTTAGTTTACATGGCACATGGCTCGAACCTGTGACCTAAGTCACAAGTGCCTCAACCTTTGCTACTTGAACTAAGCCATGGGGACACACTTCAGTAAAGAAGCTTTGGGTGCAGTTTTGTTAATTGCCGATGTAATTTGCATAAAGTGAGTATCATTTAAAGTATTAGGAATTTCTTTGGTAGGGGAATGCACTAAGCTTTAGGTGGAACTGAAAAAGAAGAAAGAAAAAAGAAAAAGAGAAGAAGCAGCAGAGAAGGCCACAACCACAAATTAGCATGATAGGGGAACTAATAGTAGCTTTACTTTGTTATCTACTATTGAGAATTTTGTTTGATTAACTAGCCTTTTCAGTGACAGAATATCGATTAGAAAGACATTTGACTATTATCTGAAGATCGAAGAAGCATTCTCGAGACATGAGGCATTGTTGTAAATGGGTCAACTCTTCTAAGATCTCAGTCGCTCTCAAAGAAAGTATCTAATTTTATCCCACAGAAGAGGTTAGATTGACAATTTTGGGTTGACTTTTTTTCACATTGATTATCAAGGTGGAACTCATTAGCAGGACCAAGTTACATAAGTGGTACAACTCAATCATGGATCATCATAGACACAAGAATGGATCTTCCATCTATTCTTTTTTTCCTCCAAATTAATATCTTCCAACTATTCAATTATGTCTCTCTATTTATTCTTAGAGCTTAAACTTTAAGAGGCCATTTGGTACGATGGATACGCAAAAATAATCCAGGGATAAAAATTTAATACCACCTTATTACTTGTTTGGTCACTAATCATGGGATAAGTTATCCCAAGATTAAAAATAATACCAGGATAACTTATATCTGCCAGATGGTGGAATAATAATCCCACGATAAAGCAGTAAAATTGACAATCCCAGGATTAATACAACAAACCAAACATTTAACAACAACCCAGTATAATTCTATCAATAAGAAATAATACCAGTATAACTAATCCTAGCATAACTAATCCCAACATAACTTGTCTTCAAACCAAAAGACCCCTAATAGTCTTAAACATACACCCCCCCCCCCC